TTAAACTATAAAACTGAAATATTACCTTTGGTAAAACAAGTTGGTGGCTTTCAGATGTCGCATTTTTGTTTCTGTAACATCCAAATGAAACGGAAAATAGCTGTTTACCAGCTTACCCCTGTAGCCAACCAACCCTGGTCTCCCCTACGTATTATTTGGGCTATATGGGATATAAGTCTTTCCTTTAATCTTTAGATATATAGATTTTAATATGGCACAAGCTAAATTCTCTGTGAAGCAGCCAAATACTAAGGCAGGACAGAACAAAGAAAAACTGAGTGGGTAAAATTGAAAAAGGTTTTTAAAATTGACATAATTGGACTAACTCAAATTGTATTTTTTGCTAACCTGCACATTGTTAGCCTGTACAGCTGAAGATACAGGGCAGGACTCTTTGTGATGACTTGGGTTAAGATGAATGTTGATAGCTATTGAATCAGCCTGCCATAAATAATTGAAGTGACAAACAGGTCAGAGTGCTCAAAGGCAACAATCCTCAGTCACATCTCAGCTCAAGTATAAGGTTTTAATAACCACTGTGATTTCTGTGTTCCCTCTCTCTTTCGCTCTCTCAGGTCATAACTCAAGCCTCCCATCCCTCTATTCCTCTCTGCCTTTCTTTTATTCGTTCATTCATCCGTCACCATCCAGAGAAACAGGGTCAGTTTATTGAAGCTTTCCTCGGGCCCTTTCTTGTTGTCTGGCTCTGCTTATGTAAACCAGACAGCCCCGGCTGACCGGACGCGACAGCTCAAACTAGAATAGAGCCTGATTCCATTCTGATGAGCTCCTCATCAGCCCCTGTTTTCTAAGAATTTATGCACTTCCTCTAGTCAGGACAATCAAATCAAAGATATTCTCACATCATCTTACAAAGTTGTCCTTACACATGATGTCTTGTATCTTCACCCAGCCTGATTCTGCTACATTGGTATTCTTGTTTCCATGTTATTTCCTTTGAACCACCTTTAAACTGATCATTTCTAAGCTCAGCAATTCCCTTGTGCTATAGCTGTTAACAGAGGCTTTACCTTCACAGCCGGTCCTACGAAACCACATTTGTCAAGGAGTGTGAGAGAAACCACAAAGGAAGGAAAGGAACATTGGTTTGCGCGCCTGTATGTGTGGTAGCATACAAACTAAAATTCAATTGTGCTGTTAAAAAGTAGCAGGTGAAGCACAAACAGTGTAAAACTAGGCTATGGGAAAGTTGCTTTGAAAAAGAAGAGCTACCCTCTGTGGAACTGGAGGGGGAATGGACTTTGCCATTGTGTGGCTGAAAAAACAAACGGTCATCCGACGCTGGGACAAGAAAGAATCACAGTCTGAAATGAACAGTAAACACAGTTCGGTCCAAGTCAAACTGATGAGTCTTATATAAATTATTAACCCTCCACATGCAGATAGATGGTGATGGAAGTAAAGTTTACAGTGAAATAAAAAAAAAAGTAGTGTGAGCTGCAGCACTGTGGATCGATAAGTGGTAATGAATGCAGTGTAGTTAAATTTGGAGTTTCATTATACTCGCTAATTCACAGGAAATGGAACTGTCTCTTCAAACACAAGCATAAACATGATTCAGGTGAGTGGGCTGTGACAAACAAAAACCCCGCAGCACTCTGCTCATGTCAACAGGAAATGTTTTTTTTTTAGGTGAGGAAACAAATTATTATTTTTAGAATTAACATGACCACACAGTGGCCTGGTTATCATAGAGTATCAGACACCCCATCAGTGCTGGCAAAATTTGGAATAAAAAAATAATTGAAACATTCAACATGGTACAGCTAATCAAAGGCTGGTGTAATCTTAGCAATCTGTTTTACTATCTTATCTTACAAGCACACTCTCTTTCCCAACAGCCATTCATAAATCCCATTTTTTGTTTCTTAAAGAGGAATCCTATCTATTGGCATAAACCTCAGCAGTGCATAGATGCTGTCTGAGCAGCAGAAGTGGCATAAAACTGGCAATCTACTAAAATCCCTGAGGAGATTTATATATATATATATGTATTCCAAATAGTCGAGCACATAACCTGAAATTGTCAAATGTCCTCAAACTATCCATTTTTAAGCTACACGGTGTTTGTCTCACATGGATTACAATCTCTCAGTGGCTTCAGGCCACGTCTAAAATACACCCCCACTTCCTGTAGGCCTGTCAGATAGAATCTCCTCATAAGCACACTCGTCTAAAGTTCAGACATGTTTGCGTGTGGGGAAGAAGTTTTTGTAGATAATGACATTTTGTAAACAAGGGTAGGTTTGATTTGAGCTCTGGCTCGTCCCCAACTTGTATCACGTTGCCAGTTTAGCCTGAAGGGTGTGGGCTTTCCTCCAGTCCTCCAAAGGAAACACGACAGACTCGCTGGCCAAAAGCCTGACATGGATGAGCCAATATGTCAAATCCAAATTTCCAATGGTTTCACACATTTTCTGTCGTGGTAAAAAAGATGGCTCCCACTCTCACACAAGTTGCATCTAATCTAGTTTGGGTACAGATCACACTGGGGGCCTTTTTTTCTGAAGTCATTAGAGTTTAATCGAGATGCTCTGGCTCAGCTTTCCTGGACTATTGGACTGAATGTGAACAATTTATGTGTAGACAAGCTGAATTAAAGACACCATGTGGAGTTTTTACCCCTAGGAACATGATGGAGCAATGTTTTTATGAGTGGGTCCCCATTTTGTTTGGCTAATTTCACACTACTCTACTCATCAACAGTTGATGTGATAACATGCAAAGAGGTGTAGCAATGCGTAAGTAAAAGCAGTGAAGAAGATGACTTTAATCTAGCAAACATGGATGTGACAACCCAGTCGGCAGAAAAAAAATGTAGGCATGATAAATTTTTGCAAGCCACAGCTATGTTACATTTTACAAATTATGAAACGGACATGTTGAAACTTTACAACAACACTGTGGTTAAAGTGTAGTTAGGTTCAGGCAAAGACCATTTGGTCACACTTATGAAAAGATCATGTTTTTACTTAAAAGAAACAGCTCTGGTGGCACAATCATAGCTAGAGAAGTAGATGTTTTTCTGTTTTTTTGTGGCACTATCCAAGCTAGAAATGGGGTGATGTCTTTCATGGCTCTATTCATGGTGGAAAAACAGTGAAGTGTTACTACAAAAACAGCAATATTTGGTGGCTAAATAGCCACCTGATGACATGCTAAAAAACAACTAGTTTTGTTATTTGTTGCTCTCAAACAGTGATCTGCAGCTCGGTGGGTGTCACTTTAGAGACACTGATAATGATACATGTGAAACATACAAATGTACAATGCCAACATTTTCTTTTGGTGATTGGGCTGCATGTGAACAATGCTTAATTTTAAATATCAAAACCGTTTTCCAAATGTTTTGAATAAATGTTTTCATGAAGAAGAAAAAAATTCAACATGTATGCTTGACTTTGACCTTGAAACTTTGTTTACAAGAGAGCTCCACAGGGCAACTTTAAAGATTTCACTAACAAACAAGCTGCACAGTAAAACTCAGATTTATATTAACTCTAACTGCTTGATGGCTATTTTTTTAAAGCTGAGTGTTTATTATGCAGCAGATTTTATGGTAGCTCATGCTACATTATACATACATGCAGAGACCACGGAAACCCTGCAAATTTATGGAGTGAAAATTAAATTGAATGTAAAATATGATGCAAGTATAACTCCATTTCAGCTTTGCAACACAGGATGACAAATGTTAGTTAATTTTCCACTATTACGCAGCTCTACTGGCAGCTGCTTTAACATTGTGTACTCTAGCCAATGCTGCTTGCATTCTGTTGGTGCTAAAAAATGTGACTGATCATCATAAATATGCATCACATACACACTCGCACACAATTTAGATTTCATCACGGCGGTGGACCACAGAGGATTGAGGAAATGCTAATGTGTCCGGCAGCTTTCCTATTTGTGACTAGTACTGATGATGATCCTGCTTTGGGTCCAGTGGGACCTTACCTGCAGCAAAAAGATGACAGTATTATCTCCATGCAAATATTAACAGAGGAAAGCAAACAGGCAAAGTAACTCATCTACTGACTGGCTATGAGGGAGTCATCAAGCTTCCTCTGGAAGAGAAAACAAAAGAAAAAAAAACATGATGTTCTCAGAGTTCAAAACAACCTCAGTGCCTGCTGTAATTTCCGTTGCAGCCTCTGTTTGTGAACACACTGTAGAGTGTTTCACAGGCATTTGTTGTTTGACATTGGTGAGACATTGGCATTTAAAATATCACAGGTATCTCAATTTTGCATCTACTTCCTGCTGTAATCTGACATGTAATCTGTCTTTAATGCCTGTCTCTCTACCACAATTTATCTTATCAGATTAGATCAATTTATACTGTATATTTTATAGATACTAAATGCTAATGTGATTTGGCTGAGTGAGAATAAAGTCTATTTGTGGGTGTCGACAAGCAAAACTGCACCTTTGACCGAAATTTAATTTAATGCTGTAATTCCAGCAGAAGGAAGGAAAGCCAAATATGGGTGAGGAACATTCTTAGCCTGCAGCTAAACTTTCAAAAATGACTTATCTTCAGTCAGCAGAGGTGTAAACAAAGCAAAATGTCCAGCACAGTTGGAACACCACTTAACACGAGCTAACAGAGCTGATGTTCAAGTCTTTTCAGGGAGCTGCTGCTGCTCTGAGGCAAATATTTTGATCAGAACTGGCAGCATTAACTGCTTTAACTGTGGGGCAGCCAACACTCTTCACCCCACAACAACAAACAGAAAGCAGGGATCTTACTGGTAGAACAGGTAGAGCTGTGGCTCCTCTGGGGTGTGAACTGGGATTGTGATGTGCTCAACAATGCTGCTGTTTAGGATGCAGGTTTGGTTAGAATACAGAGCAGCCACTCCCCCCCTCCCCCAAGATTCATGGTTTGAAATTACTGATTAGCATTGTATCAGTGTTGCTGTAAATCATTTAAAGGTCAGCTGTAAGTCTTCAATAAAAAAAAAAAAAGAAAAAACTTAACTGTTCAAATATATATTTATTTCCATTTTCCTTCATACAAAGATTTTTTTCTCCAAAAATAAACTGTGGGAACAGGTGAATCAGTAAAAGTGCACAGTTACACAAAGTAGTCAAAGAGTGGGTAAAGCTGTGTGATGATTGGACATAAAGCGACAGAAGGGAATCCTCGAGGTCGACACACAATAACAAAAGCAAGTCTTTCGTCCAATCTGTATTGATCACCAACACCTGAGTGGGACAGGACCAAGCGCTTTCAGCACTCTCGTCAGGTACAAGTACATTGGAGAGGTTTTGCTCCTCTGTGCAAAGATTCGTTGGATTAGAAAGATAATTATGGGTAATTAAATTCTGACTTCATCCCCAAATGATTAGAGTGCAGGTGCAGCTCCGATGCAAATGTATCCATCATGAAAAGTCACTTAATCTTGGGTTGTAAAAATCTTTAAAGGAGGGAGGACGTTTACCAGTGTGCAATTATCACTTGTTTCCAGTGCAAAACAGCTGGTGGGAAGTTTGTTTTGACCCTCGTGATCAGCTTTGCTAATGCACTTGAGAATGTGCAGCCCAGATGTCAGGGCTTTTGCTCTCACTTTGAGAGGAAAACAAATAATGAACTTTGACCCCCCTCCTCTGAAGATGCACATTCGTTTGCAGTGTGCCACATACACCCGAAGCTCACGCACAAAGCTCTTATTGGTTGACTGTTGGGATAAAAGCTCCCTCAACAACACACATGCTTTCTTCAGCATGAAAAGTGTGCAATATCCACTGAACTTTTTTTAACCTAAAGGTCACCAGAGCATCCACTCTCAGTTGACAAAACGCTCCTCTTTAATTTCATGTGTTGTGTTCAAGTGGTTGGCCAGCTCTTGCATCACAGCATCTTTGCCAATCTGATCGTTCCTCCTCTTTTCCATGATCACGTCCTCCAGGCTCTGAAACTCCAGGACGTGATTCTTCTTCTCGGAAAAGAGTAATTTTAACCTGTACGGCTGCTTACCTATCCTTATCTCCCCTCCGATTTTAAACTCCCGTTTGCCAAAGCGGCACCAGGCGGCGAAGCACTCAGAGTTTCTCCAGTACAGCTCTCTGTCTCGCGACCCGACATGGTCCAGGGCGTTGCGCACAATCACCTCCGGCGGGAGCGCACGGTACCTGTAGAGGCCGTTCACTATCCTGCCTTTTTTGCCCTGGCTCACATCGGTGAGGAAGTTGTTCTTTATCTCAGCCCTGTGCAAATGCACCACCTGAAAGTCCCCGACGTAGACAGCCCAGTGAGGATACTGTCCGGTGGCCACAAACTCCAGCAGGTCTCCGGGTCTGCACTTGTTCAGGAGACTTTCCGCAGAGTGAGTGGCGGCTCCGGTGCAGGTCTCATAGATGCACTCCTCTCGGTAGTAAATCGCGCACTCCAGCTCGTCCTGGGGGTCGAAGGGCTTCTCCTCATGGCTCACCACGTGGTTATCAGATGAAAAGCGGTCCAAATTCTCGTCCTGGTCGTCATCGTCGTCGTTGGAGAAAATGTAAGAGACGCCGATCCGCGGTCCGTCGTCATCTGGGTCGAACCCATTCGGGTCCGATGTTGGCACCTCCGCGTAATTTAAATGCGTTAGTTTCTCCACCTGGTTCCCCATAAAGGTGACAGGTGGGTGGAGGGGATCAAGCTGAACACAGAAACAGGATCCACCTGTTCTTGGCGCACTCACTTCACCGGGCAGGACAGGCTGGAAGAGGCGCAGGGCTGTGCCGCGTTTTAACTAAATCCAAAGCGGTGAGGACCGACACCAATAATCCATGTCCGTCTGTATATATAGCTATATCCTCCAAATGAACACCAGCTGCGCCGACCTGCAGAGAAATAAACAAGACAGCAGCTTAAACAACGAGCTCAGAACACGTTAAAAGCCCATCTGCAAGTCAAAGTACTGTGCGTGGTTTACATTCCCAACAGGTGTGACCCGACACACCTGTTGGCTCACTTTCCACACACTCGCCGAAACAGCCACAGCTATATTTACTTTTTAAGTCACATCAGTACTGTGTGATAACACCTACACTTGTGCTCTCATGTTGGTCTTTCCCAGTTGTTCATTAGCTCAGGTCACATTAAACTCTCCGGACACACGGACTCACCTGCAGTTCAGCTCCTGGCAGCAGCTCCTCTCTCACACACTCCTGTCACATCGGTAAAACAAACAGGATTACACACGGTGCTGCCGGCTGCGCTTCCTGTATGGTAGGCTGTGTGGTTTGGTTTCGTCTCCTGTGCTGTACAGGCTGTCTGTAGTATGAACCTCTGTGTTTGTTGCAGCGAAACTCACCCAGGACCGAGCGACTGTTGGGAGGTGTTGTCATTTAAAGCGACAGTGCGCATTTTTCGGCCTCATTTACATATTCAGTCTCAAGTTTACGTAGTCTATCAAGTAGATGAGATTTTTCTTCTGCAATTTGCATGGAATTATTTTAAAAGATTTAATCAAAGTAAAATACTGTAGTGTAATACTGTCATTAATTTAACCAATATAGTTTAATATATTATATATATAAAAGTTTTTTCTCCATTGTAGCCCATAATATAAAGATGTAAAATGTTACAGGGATACATAATTTCATGATACACCCATGTCCCAGCACTAAACACACACTGAAGTCCATATATGATCAATACAGGAGGAAGAATACTCCCAAACCATCACATACAGCATAGAGCATACAGTATATGATCCATATATTTTAAACATTAAAGTTTTCATGCAGTTCTACAAGAGGTGTGAGTCCATAAACAAGCTGATGAGAAAATTAATACCCTTTAAAATTTGACAAATTGATCTCACTTTGAAAACATGAGGAAATCGATTGCCTTGAGGAAAATAAGTAGCTAATTAAGTTATTTTTACTTACAAGGTACTCACTGTAAAAGTATATATTATTTAAGATAAGTAAACATGACTCAAGATTACTTAGTTATGTTTACTTACATTTTTCAAGGCTTTAAAGTAATATCAGCTTTTCACATTGTGCAGTAAAGGAGCAGGGTGAGGAGAAAGACATCCATGCAGGCTGTTTGGACAACTTTTTCACACAATTTTGTAATCATCCCTGGATAATTAGTGGGTCAGTTAGTACACCAGTTAAATATTTTATTATTTACATAGTCAGAAAGTTGAGAGCTGTGCTGAAATTAGGTGTTAGTGAAATCGGATTATAAAGTGTAATCTCTTACGTCGATGTAAAGTATGTAGAGGGACTTGTGATGTAATTTGAGGATTAGGATCATAAAGACGTTTTCTTCATTCTTTAAAACGCAAACTAATCTACCAAAGTTGGTTTGATAAAATCAGATGTGCCGCAGAACTGAGTGCATGCATTTTTATTCAATAAGTGTGCCAATGAACTTGAGGTTGTGTAGTCTTAAACAACTAGACGTAACATTATATAATCAAATCCAAACTTACTTTATGGAGTTATATGGTTCTTTTGTGAATATTAACTTTGCACTGGATTTGGGCATTTTGCCTCCAAACCTCCTGAACTATAAAGATCTACACATCACTGATGCCGGCGGGGGGGATATCCAAACACCGATGTGAAGTATCCCTGAAATTCACTTTGCCTACATTATAGGTGAACACCACTTTAATTAAGAATTTCAGCATGTTATTTCCATGGCTGAGGAATGTTTGATCAGTATCTGTGAAAATGAGCCACTCTCTGTCAAAGCCAGAAACCAGAGAAGACTCAAACTTGTGATGTCATCAAGCATAAAGTGTGGAGCTGCTCCACAGACAATGAATGGAAGATTGTGTGGAGCTTTATCCTATTGTAGTGTTTTCTCTTATAGACTGAATCACAATAACTTCCAGGTGGGAAATCCCTCCATCATGTACATTTAATAAAACAGTGCTGAACAAACGCTGCCTCCAGGTGGTAAGTTTTTAGCCACCTAAAAAATTAAAATCACTCCCAAGTGTGCTCTATATTTAGAATATTTTCACCACTTTACCTTGCCATCAGAAGGCCCTTGCTGATAGTGAACTGAAGCGGTTATCTCAAAGCCACCAGACTCCGCTGACAAAAAAAGTCATTCTAGATGAGGGGAGTTGCTGGTCCACCACTGCCTCGATCAGTTACTGTGTAAGGTACAGCTGTGATATTCCAAATATAGTACAATTAAGCTGATATTGGTTGTTTAGGTAGGACACAGGCTTTGCTGCAGCCCCCATCCACAGCAGTTTGTTGCTTAGCTTCTGTCCCAGTAGATGTGGGTAATCAAGGACACTAGCAAAGCAACACAGTACATATAAAAAGCACAGCAGAAGCGTCATATGGGTCACGTTACAGTTTTCATATCAATTGCCAGTCACTTCTGTACCCAGAGGTGACTGTTATCAAGACGTCACGATGATTCAGTCCACACTCAGAAGAGTCCCCTGGGTGCTCTCACTGTCATCTGTAACATCTTTCCCAATCCATTGTCCATGGAGGAGCTCCAGACTTTACACTTGACGACTCAAGATTTTGGTTTTGGGAGAGAGTATTCACGTTTACCAATATTTTTGGATCGTCTTACACCGTAGGAATACCATGTATGAAATCTGAAAATGAGCATCGTTCCCCTTTAAACTTTACAACAGAGCTTTTTTACAGCAGACATGTTGACTTGTCGTAGCAGGAAAAGCACAGGTGTTTAATTAACATTAACAATGCCTCTGTCTATTCAAATGTCCCAGTAAGTCATGACAGTGTGACAGCGAGCCAGCGTGACCAATTGCAGGACCCTGAAACCAAGGCAGCCATTCAATTCAGCCATCATTCACTTTGTTATGTACACCTGTGCTTTTACTGTGACATGTCAAAATATTAGTGAAAAGGCATAATCCAAGTTTGAACACAAGGATCCTAATGCAGTATAATCTTGCAAGCAGCAGCGTTACATCAAGTATAGTAGTTGTTTGTTGTGCATTATTGACAGTGCTTTCTTTAAAAGGTATCACTTTAAATAATTTAACTGCGGAATAAAGGAATTTATTCACATCAGAGGGGGAGGTCGTGTGGGCAGTGTGTCAGCAGCACAATGAACCAGACTCCCTTTTTTTGATGGGAGTATCTGTGTAACTGTGTGGATTTAGCCGCCAAAAGCAGTGGGAGACAAGCATGACACCTGGATCAAACCAGAAATTTGGAGCACCGGTCTGATCTGAGCCTCGCTGTTCTCCTCCCTCTCCATCCAGCTCTGGCACTGCCCCGGCCAGGACTCCTGTGCCAGGAAGTGAGACTATGTTCACTTCCTGCCAAAAGGTAAAATCCTCCTTGGACAAGCCAGAAATTCAGGCTTAGTGTGTCTCAGGCAGCTATTACACCTACTTCTTGGAGCGTTTGAACAGATGAATGTGAATTCTAGATCAAACATAACCAGAAGAAAGCAAACATCTTTGGGGAATTGATTGGGTTTTTTTTTTCATCAGCACTGCATGTCTGTACAATATTGTGATTGAATTTCTGAGGATATTTACAGCTCTGCCTCCCTCCAAAGAAACAGCTTAATGGCTTTGCCTGTGACATGGCGAATGCGGTGCCTGTCTGCGCGCACTTTCCACAAATTGAACTGTTGTCGTGAAATTACCTGTGACTTCACATGTTGTGCAGTAAACAAGATTAGATTTGCAGAATGGCAATTCAAAATGAAGCAGAGTGGAGAAATGAATGAGTCAACATCCGAGATCGTTTGTTGCCAGTTAATATCTTCATTGGTGAAATGCTCTTAGGGCTGTGTGACGCACTCTTTGGAGGAGAAGAGCAATTAGAGATTTTTGAAAATGCCTGATGCAAGGTTATTAAAAGATTAGCTTCACCTAGTTTCATCTCAACACAGCCTTTGTTTGTTTCTCTTTGGAACAAAGACCCTTCACACGGAGCAAGAGAAGGAAGGAAGGGAGAGATTTAATCGCCTAAGTGCATTCCTGCAGATGTTTAAGAATGGTTTGTTTATGGCTCATTCACAAAACTGTGTTTTGAGTAAATCTGTTTAATATCTTCAGCTTCCTACTTTATTTACCTGCAATTAGAAAAGATTGTCTTTATTAAAGGATCTCAAGCCCCATTAAGATTTAAACATTTCCAGTATTAGTTTATCTCGGTTCACAGATTGTACATAAGGTACACATGCTGTACTTATATGCTCACTAACCTGAAGAAAGACTAAAATGAGCACTTCGTGGATTTATAGTTGCCAGTAGGAATCACAACTCTACCAATAAATAATCCCCCATCATACCTGGAGCTGAGAATTTATAATCCAGAGATGAAAAATTAATTTCTGGACATAAATCCAGTGTCCTCATGCAGACACTGCTCTCTTGTGGTTCTGCCAACTTACTGCATGTAAAGCATGTAAAGATAACTGCAAAATGATCTGCCCATGCTTCCAATTACAAATACAAGTTTGGTAGCGTACATTGATGAAAAGGTTTGCAGCTTTTATTTACATTCACTAAGACTGGAGTTGACACAAAAGATGCTCCATCTTAAGAAATAAAACATAAGTCATCACTTCCTGAATTCTAATTCAGCCAGGCAGCAGAGTTTTTCTGGGGTACAACTCCTTGAACAAAAATTTCAACAACCTGAGTCCTGATAAAAACAACTGTCTTCAAAATACTAACAAAATATTACTTTCCTAATATACAAATAATAACCAAGACACAGGTTTTACGATGAATATAAATGTGGCGTACTATGTCCGGTTGCTGTTTCTCTTATGGCTCTGGATCTTTCTCCTCAGCATCTGGTCAGGAACCAGATCTGACTGTCTCACATCTGTGTTCCCACAGCCCACCACAGGACAGCTAGAGGACGGAGAAATAGAGGGAAAGTTAACATGTATAACAGGTATCGAAACAGACAAATATCATTGAGCAAATTCACACAGACGTGGGCAAGCATGCGTTTAAAAGAAAATTTCTGCATCAATACTGACAGACACTTCAGGGAGGATGAGGATAAAGTGTGTCCACACAGCAGCGTTTCATCAGTCATACACCTAATCACAGTAAGGCCCTCCTGAGTATTGTTGCTATAATTGTGCATGTAAGGTGTGCACGGTGACCGCAGTCAGGACCCAAGACAATAGGCAGGTTTCTTTGGCAACAACATGGACCGGGACTGGGATTTCATCAGTGTTCCTTAAGGAGCCGCCACATCTAATTTCATTCCAACATCAAAGCAGTATAATAAAGAAAATGTGAATTAAGGCAGACTGCTTGGTCCCACCACACCAGCCCACCGAGTTGTTTACTGCTGCAAAAC